GTACACCATCTCCATCCCACCAATGTTGTAAACATTCCCCTCCCCTCCTTTGCGCATGAGTTACTAGTCCATTACGATGTTACCTATAAGTAAGATGCGTACTCTGCCTTATGAGCCCTTCCTCTGTTTTCCTCTAAGGGCTTTCAACATGAACGAGAACATTCACGTTCACATTACTCACCCCTATGCCAACGGTGGTAAGTCACTCAGATTACATTAATGACCGATTAAACTAATTACCAGGCCGCGTGGTCGAACACGATGCCTAAAATTACGCAAAGCGAGCGCGTTTTGAGGAAAAAGTTATATACGCACAACTGGGGCTGACTTTGTTTTTGCATGAAAATCCCTTATATTCGCACGTGCTTGGCAATATTGGCATTGGCCCCCCGCCTCACGTGCTAATTATGCGTTTTCAAGTGCGTGAAGCGTACACTTGCACTGTTAGAAGCCGCAGTTTCCCAAATAACGGAATGAGCTTGGTATGAAAAAGGGGGCCTAAGGATAGTTTAAGGCGGAAGAGTCCAAGCCTACTAGCGTCCGCTTGCTCGTGGCAAGTATATCTTTCAGTGGTCGGACCCTTTGCGAGATAAACGAGCTTGCTAACCCACCCATAATATTGCACACCTCGTATGGGCACACCTGTTGATTAGTATCAGACTGTTCTCTAGTGTATCTTATTCACCGATCGTGTCACAATGCCTTAACTATGGGGGCAATGTTGGAAAGGACGCAATATGCGACCCTACGCAGGCAATCAAGGGTATTTCAGCATGTAATACGGTACCGACGGTAATATGATTTTGCGGGTGGGACTAAATGGTGGAAAGAAGTACGCAATAAAGGTTAATGTTAAAAAAGTTCGTATTTTCCTCAGAAAATTATAAATATTTTTTGACTTTTAAAACCTTTATGGCTCGACAACGCCAAAATACTAAGGGTGAAGGGCCATTCAACCAAAATACCAATGACTGGAAGACCTACTAACCGACTAAGGAAACATGTGTTTCAAGCATATAGCTGATGCGTGATGCCACCTTAAGCAGGCCTGTAGACAAAACCCACACCTAAGCGCTACTTCCGAGTCCGAATTTGCGGGAATGCAGGAGAATGAAGGTAATAGCTCAGGC